GTAAGTTTTTTTATTGTCGGTAATTCTGATGGTAACTTACCGGTATGATAAGAGTAGAGCACTACAATTACCGATATGAGGCTAAAAAATGTTACTAGATTTCAATATATTTTAAACTTTCTTATTTCCTAGTAACTTTTAATAGGAAGTACTGTACACATTGTGAATGTGTAATTTAATTCTATATACATTTAAAAACAAACAACAATTAGAAATCTAATATAGATATATTGTTTTAATTATTAATTAAAGAAGTTTACTCGTTAAGAAGGATTGTCTTTGAACAGGTAAAAAAGAAGACTTACTAGATTAAAATAAAAAGAAAACTTTAAAAGTTTTCTCGAAAATTGAGATTCTTAACAGGATCACATGATGTGCAAGTAGGTATCACGATTTCGGACTTTTCCAAGAAATGACATTCTTAAGCCGTTGCTGTGTTTTGATAATCCATTGGATGTTTTATGTTAATCCCCTCCGAGTATCAGTACATGACTTTACTTATTTCAGCTGGATGGAACCTTAATTTTACACTCCAAATCAGTGTCAAGCGTCACCATGGGGTTGCCCCCATAAACGAGCATTGTGGACAAATTCAGTTGACATTAAGCGAAGAAATAAAAGGGAAATTAATAAAATTGTATTTTTGATAAAAGCACACGTGAAGACATATTATTGCGATATTAATTTTTTTATCGTCTATTTTATTTATTTATTTACTTCCTCTTCTTTCATATTGTTTTATCTTTTTACACTAGGTATTACCGATTTCATGTGTGTTTTTTTTTTCTTTTCAATAAAATTTACTTTCTTCTTGAGAAGCTTGCAGCATACGTATGGAACAACATCGAAGAAAGAAGCATAAAAAGAAAAAAGAACAAACAAAAATAAAATATGTAAAATATTGAACTCGCATTGAAATCATTCAGTATTCATATTGCGACACATAGATAAAAAGTTTGGCGACTGCGCTACCAACGAAAATTGAATTGTGATAAATCTCCATACTAAGATCAAGCTCGATCTCTTGTGGTCCTTGAATACTTTGGGTCATCATTAGAACGCTTTGATTAATTAAAGGCCTTCTCATTGCAAAGCAAGATTCTGTGGCACGAGCTATACCAGGTGGTGCGCGTACATCCACAAAGGCCATACTGAATTGTACAGTGGATCCTTGTTGATAAGTTCCTCGCATAGTGAAGAGATCGATACTGCCACTGTCTGGTATTGGAAACATGCTGACGAAGGTGATGTAGTTAAAAGAATAATAAGAAGGCATTTTGAAGCAAGCATAATCATTTTGCTTGCAATATCTTGATGCACGAACGCAACGACTGAAAAATAAAATTTTTATCTACAATATATATATATACATATAATGATTTATAAATATTTTTTAAACGTTTCTCTACAAAAATACTAGAATAAAATATTTTTATGGTAATATTATTATAATTAGTGATAAAGCAATTCATTCTTTTTTCTTACTTTCGTCTATCATAATCTTTTACGTATCCCGATGGACAATTGATTCTGTTGCAATGAAAGCCACCCCGTATATTTTGGCACATTTCGTTGGGGTCACTGCAACCTGGTCCGACGGAGCATTCGTCAATGTCTGAAAAAGATAATACAAAAAAAAAATGAATTAACGTGATTGGGAAGAAAGGAAGTAAAGCGTCCAAGGACTGACAACGTGATTATGTGACGTTATTGCATGACGCATAATGGTTAGCGTGGGTGGAAAATCGTATTCACTCTTTCTTTTCTTTTCTTTTTTCTTCTCTTTCATGATTCTCTTTCACGACGCCCCAGTTTTTTCGCTTATAGGTCAAGTACAATTTCGCGTAGCCTAATTGCAAGATCACAGTCGAGGAAAGGTTCTTTTTTTTAGTGGCTAATTAAATGCACACGAGACACATGCTTCGTTACATTTGAAAAAAAAAGTCTACCCTTTATCGCGTGACAATTTGACATTCGCCAACTCCTTTGACTCTGATTTAATCAAAACGTTTCATCTTACAACGAGCCACTTTAAACAACAATTTACCTTTAACACGTGAAGTTCTATTCGCGTAAATAAGTAAAAGACATTATATTTGTTTCTTACCTTGACATGTTCGACCATCGGAGCCAAGCTTATAACCATCAGGACATTTGCAACTATAGCTACCTGGTGTATTCTCGCATATACCAATGCAAAGATTATTTTCCTTGAACTCTTCGCATTCATCTATGTCGGTACAAGAACGATTATCAGCGTTTAATCTAAATCCTGGCTTACAGCCACATCTATAACTACCCCAAACATTTTTACAA